ATTTTAAACTCTGCACAAGGCTATTAGCTCTACAAAGGAAGGCAGCTTATAAAACTGTCTGTGGCCTGGGCATTTTCTGGCAGACAACTGCTATAGTAGCAGCTAAATTAAAGTTGACTTTTGATGCTAACATCTCTGAAGCAGTATTCAGACTCTAAATTTCTGCATTTCTATGTAGAAGAGACACAAATAGTATAATCAGGCCCTTTTATGAAAAACAATATACACCCCTTAGTAGGTGTGCAGTAAATACTTCCTGAAGGTAAATATAATTTTATAACTTATAATTTATATAATTTTATAATATATAATTTTTATAATAATATATAATAATTTTATAATAATAATTTTATAATTTATAATTTATAATTTTATAATTTAGACCTCATACAGATTGGTTCTATTCCATTCAAAGTATATTTTCTGTTTATGTAAGTTGTACCTTTTCTACCATTAACTTATAATAAAAATACTTTTTGACCATAGCTTAACCAAAAATAAACATTACTGAAGTAATCATTCAATTCATATGAGAAATTGTTGGTTCCCCCAAAGGCTAAATGGTCACCAGCCTGTGGAATTTAGCTCTGCAGCTCTGTTGACAATGGCAATGAACACGTTCATAACAATAATAAGGGCTTGTTTTAATAGAACGTTCCACGCATTAAACACATTAATGACCCATGAAATAACTGTTTTATCTGTAACACATTAAGCAACATTGCTAAAAACAATGTATTAATTGAAAGTCTGCTATTTCCCTTAATGTAAGTTTTTTAAGTACAAAAAATGGCATGAAAATCATTTTTTAAAAACAAATATAATTCAACTTCCAAATTAGAGTTGTGCCAAACAATGGTATAAAACCTTGTAAAATAAACTGGGCAATTTTAGATGTATTATTCTGATAAATTCCTATTTTATGATCAAAATGATATCTGTGTGGATTATGACTTAAGAGTTTTACGAATATTTTAAAAGCTCATAATTTTCTTCTCTGCATGAGTATCTCCTATAGTACTTTTTCTCTTTCCTTAATAGGTACAGCTCCTACCATACTCAAACATACCTCCCTTACTTCCATCTTTTCAATTTTCTAATACTACATTTGACAATGCTAGAGCACTAGTGTAGCATTTTCTATAAATATATGCTGTTACAATTAAATCCAAGGCAATATCAAACAGAAAATGTCGGTCCTCTAAACACAGAAGTATAATGTATGAAGAAAAAGTATATGAATGATCAGTGTGTTTTATAAATTTTCTTTTGGGGGGCATACAAAATATCAGACTAGAGACAATTATTTTACTGTCTGTTTCTTAGATATCAAAGAGAATTTTGAAATTCATCAAAGCTAACCTTCTGTTATGTACAACAGGCTAAGCTGAAAAGAATGTTAACAAGTTCAATTTTCATTCAATCAGCACTACTGCTCTCTGAAATGTTTCATTGCAGGAAAGAAATAAAAATAATCTATATGGTAATTATGAGGATGAATCCCCCAGTAACTTTCAGCTACATGAAAGGTCAGTTCTATTCAAGATATTTTATCAGTCCCCTGCACATACTCCTGTCCTGTCATTTTAAATCTGAACAGCATTTTATTTTCCCATTTACAGCTACCTGCAGAATTAAGTACTTAAGCCAAATAAGAAAAAAAAAAAGAAATGTTGAATGCTGGCAAAGGCTATAATAGCATAGAGATAAATCGTTCATCTGCTCTCTCTCAAGCCTCTAGGGCTACAGATTTTTCTTCTCCTGGTGCACTGTGGGTATTCAAAACTTGTTCAACATGATTTCATTTCATTTCAGGCACTGCCTGAGAAAACTAAATTACAGAATCAATCATACAGAAGGTCAGAGTGAGACTTCATTACAAGTATTGCATGCTTGCATGAATATCTTTCATTTATGACTGACCCAATATGTCACAATAGCTGTCTAGTAAAAATAATCCACTTTCTGAAATTGATGTACTACTGATGTCAATGCTACTCAGCGGGCTGGGCAGATTATAGAGAGGTGTTAAAAAAAAAAAAACGCTTTGGAACGCACATATTGTAGATTTTTAGAATTGCAATCTTTTGTAGATTAAAACAATTTCCAGATGATCATCTGAACTGACAATAGTGCTTAGAGGTAACAAATTTTTAACCGAAATATACTGTTGATTTTGACTTGCCAACCATATTTTGACAAGCAGAAATACTTATTTGAAAATACACGTATTCACGACAAGCGAATCAAGGTTGTTCTTTGAAGTCACAAATGCATCGACATTCAATTTTTCAGCAATTCGCTTTTGAATACTAGGGCATTATTTGCATATTTTGAAATGTGAATGCTAATCATTAGACTCTTTTTAATCCCCCCTCTTCTGTTCCCGTTTTCTGTTTTTAAATATAATGGGCATAAATTTAAGGAAGATAAACATGTTGTGCTTGTTGCCAACAATAATGCAGCTAATCAGTAATGTGACAAACTGTCATTCTTTCTAAAGGAAAACCGATGACGCTCTGAAGAAAAGCTGGTTCAATACAACATAAACAAGCTGGCTTTTCTTCTCATAGGACAGTCCTAATTCACCATAGCGATCCTTAACAGGCAGCCATATTCATTTGGATAATAAAACTTCTTACTTGCATAAGGTATGAAATATCCAACGCACACCGGGAAGCTGAATGCGTGATGTATAAAGTATTATTTATTATTGTTCTGGTGACCTTCCTAAGGGAAATCTCCGAGGAGGCTTCTGTGGAGTATTATGATGTAGCTAGCCAACTCAGTACCCAGAGGGAGATATAGAAGAACCTTGACATAACCTATTTTTAACCATGCCTCTGGCAATTCTGAATTCAAGTTTATAGGTGAACATGTCAGGTAGTACATAGAACAAAGCCAACGACACATTGTATTCATCATAATTCTGTCCTAGTACATTTTATTTTTTTCCAACATTTGTGATTTAAAATCCCATGACATTTCTTCAAGGTGAAATTCTACTAGAATTTCCAACAAGATTAGTTTGTTTCAAGCCAAAATAAATATCACTCAGGTTCAGCAAAACTTCAAGAAGGCACCAATAAATGTGATGAAGTCCATGTAAATGCCATGACAACAGTCTGCACTTAGCTAAAGTACCTATACTTTTAAAAATCAATGAAATAATTCAACTGCTTTAGTGATTAGCCATACATTACAAAAGCAGCATTAAAAATTGAGTCCTCTCTCCCTACGCCAGTCTGTGAAAGCATTGTTCTTTAAGTGTATGTGGATATCATAATTATTTTATGATTCCATCTTTAGTTCTTTCCAATATAGTAAATTCAATTGACCATGAAATGAAATTTCATAGTCAAAATGCCTCCTTTACACTTTTTTATAGCAGCAATAACAGTTTTATAGCTTTAAGGCAAGGTAATTCATCAGATGTTTAATTTAAAGGCAGATTCTTATATTATTAATAAATATTTACCAATTTAATAAAGTACACATTTTAGCATATATTATATGGTCTTTTAACTATTTCTGCAGCTTAAATGAGCCTCGCTGAGCACCTATGAAAAACGGTGGACGCTGGCAAATTCCCTTGGTGACTAAATACACCCTTTTTATTTTTATTATTTTCCAGGCACAACATCGCAAGCCTAGCTCTAGAAGAACAGAGGGCTCAAGCCCTCCATTCTAGTGTCAAAGGGACAAAAATGTAAGAAAGTCCACAGGAAACAATTACTTGTGAAGTTGAGTAACGTTTATGAATACTTAATAACCATTTCCTGACTGTTCACTGCATTCTCTTCTGATAAAAAAAAGTAAAAATAAAAACCCTGATGTGCAGCTCAAACACAAAAGATCACAAGCAAGGAAAATTATGTCGCCGCAATCCTATTTGGGAAAGTAATCTTATATTTCAGAGAGCACACTGATTCTTTGCACCGCTAATCCACTACATATTTTGCAATCATGTGTTGTTATCTGGGGAATTAACAATGAAACCAATAAACATCACTGGCATAGTCCTAATGTGTAGAGAAATATGTAAACAAGCAATAGGATTTGTGTTTTTTTGTTATACCAACACATCTGTTTCATTTTATCAGGGTTTTTAAAAAAAAGCACTATAAACTATTAATCTTGTTTTAAATGTCTGCTTAGTACCTCACCTAGATAGACACAAATGCATTATATACTGTGATGGAAAAAAAAACAATCCCAGCAGAAGAGTTTAAAATACTTAAGCAGATTTACTCTGGTGATTGCTGACTATAATTGCACACTAAGAAAAATAGAACCAAAATTATTGCATTAGTAATCTTGGCTCTCTGGAGTGCCTTATTCAATGTTTATGATAATAAATAACACAATTAGGTATATTTCACACAATAACTGGTTCTATATTTTCCTCTGCTGGTTATAAGCAATTATTTTTTTCCCTTTCTCTGTATCTACAGGTTCAAAACTCTATACTCAATTATGTATCAATACAAACAATTAAAGACTGGGAAAGAAAAATTCCTCTATGACCTTTTTCTGTATTACAGTGTGATATTTCATTTGGGGTAGGAGCAAATTATGTATCATTAACATTATGTTATAATCCAACACATTCAAAAGAACTAGGCACTTGACAAGGGCTTTCATTTCTAAAATCTCAGGTGGGCAAACTTTCAACTCAACCATGCCTCTGTGTTAAACCAAAGACAAGGGAAGATTGGCTATTTCCAAACCAATGAATCAGACTTCTTAAAAATCATTTCAAATCAGCAGGACCTTGTTGGGTCATCCTCTTTTATGTGACTGGCAACCAGGCTGATACCCTCTCATTCGATACCAAATATTGATCCAGTTACCTGCATTTAAAGGGCACTGGGAATAACAAACCACATGTCCACCAGTAGACAGGCAAGAGCAGATTTCAGAACACGGACTCTCAGATCTGTACCATGATTAGCATAAATGATAAAAAAATACTTTGAAGCAATAAATGCAGTGCCTACCATGTGCAACCCACTGTTATGAAGCACGCCATCTTGCTCCACGAGATTTCTTGAGATTGTAATGGAAGGGAGATCCAGGCTTTGAGGGGGAAACTGGGGCGTGAATTCACTTCCCTGGGAAGGCAATGGATCGCTGAGGGCTTGAAAGGGAAGCAGCACGTCGGGCATGCCCAGGGCGGGGTCCGACTCTGGAGGAGGCGTGATTGGTGGGATTTCAAACTCCTCGTCCCCAAGGCTTGGCGTATGGAATGTCTGCTGAAAGGAAACAAAATACAGAAATCTTCATATTCTGCTCCTATATCTTATTCCTCCTCAGAGGGGAAAAAGAAAGACTTTGCATGAAAACACTACATCTCTAGGCCAAATATTTATTTCTCAAATGAAAACATCTTAAACACAGATTTCCATATATAAAGTTTTGCTGATCATTCTGATTAAAGATTTAAGTCTCATTATCATATGGTTTTAATGGAGTATCAGTATTAACAGTTTTTTAATGCGCACTTAATTAGCAACATCTGTCTTTGTTGTTAGTTGGAGCACATAACAAATTGCTACTTTATTGATATGTTAGTGAAACAGCTCAAACCGCTGACACTATCCACATGCTTCATAAAATGCTGACAATTTTGTGATGCGCACACACACACATATTAATCCAGAAGTGAACGTTACACATATTTACTTTCTGCCACAACATATAAAACAAGTAATATTAAATCTGTGGTTTGCGTTTTTAATTTTCCACATTGGTATATTCCCAAGTAAAATGAATGCTTCTTTGGAAATTGTTAGTTAGTAATACAACACTTTATATAAGGATTATCATAGCTCATATTAAAAGGTGCCAGCACTTTTATTTAAACTATAAGGAGGATTATTTTCTTTTATATAAACATTTTATGTATTTATCAGGACATTTTCTACCAGTCTTCAAATTTTAAAGACTTCCTGGAGAGCACAGAGCTATATTGATATAGATACAATAACTACACTGATACTGCTCATTTACTTGGCAAGTGTTATATTTCAAGACCTAAGTAAATCTTAATGCATTGTTTTTCTCCACTATTACTGAGATTCTTAAAGGTAATGTTTCAAAATAGGGCCTTGTGATGTAAATCAGGGCTGCCTTAGTCAACCATTCTAACCATCTTTCTTAAAATAGAACTTGGATTTTTTGGGGGGGGTAGAAAGAGGATGTCAAGGTCTAGAATATTTTTCAGTGGGGGGAGGGGTTGGGGGACCACTCATATTTTTTATGCCTAGCTCAGAGGGTCAGAGTTAGAATTCATTTATTATTAATAGTATTTGAAAGAATGAACTGGTGCAAGATAATTTGAGTGCTATTATCAGTTAAGAGAACTAATTAAGAGCTGAAAATCATCATTCTTCAAACTATCAATCATGATATAATGTAACAACCACTTAAGAGGAAAGAGAAACAAACTCGGTGGGGGGGGCATGCAACAAAAAACCACTTCGGACATATAGAACCTGTCAACTGTTATTTGTATCTCACCAGCAAAAAAGAGGTCACAAGCTATGGCAGCCCATGGTGGGACAACTGAATATCTTGAAGTTCTTAGCAGATTCGATATACATGAAACATTATAGTATAATAGTACATTTGAAAGTTAGAATGAAATATTGGATTTTCTGACATATGCATTCTAATAATGACCCCAAAAGATGTCAATTTCTAACTGTGGTACCCTGAGTTCTCAAACACAAAGGGATGAATTGGCCACAAACGTGGTTGGCTAATGAACGTAACCCCGTGGCTGCATTTGCTGTTATTTTGGCGCTAATGTGGTCTAGTAACAGATGCAACTGTAATTTGTGAGTCATTTGCTACCCCATTACTGCTTAATGAAATCTAACATATCACATTAACAATACGGATAAACACTCATTCTTGATATGTGGCATTTGGCTGTTTTCATTACCACTGTAATTAACACTTGAAATATTATTTCAATAAATATTTAAAGTACTTTAAAAATGGTCAGGGTAATCATGACACAGACAGAAAACATAAAGCAAATGTGTGAATTTCAAACGCAGAGTATCCTAGTCCCTGTAGTGTTATCTACAGGACAATATCTATGTGAAGGGAATTGGTTTCAGGCACAATTTAGACTTTACAACATGCAAACCTTAAGTCTTCCTGAATTAGTTTGCACTCATTAAAATGTTAAAAAAACAAATAAATTTACTTTTAATGCAGTGATTGGGAAATTAGGCACATGCTATAATGCAGCATTAACATTTGCTTGGGCTTTATTTTTTGTTCAAGAAAAGATATATGGAGAAATCATGATATATGATTACCTCTTAAACTCTAACGTAAAGCATGTCATATGCTAGGCATTAGGAAGGTTTTCATTTTTATTTTTGTTAAGAATTACAGAGAAATGTCTTATACATAATAAGTCCCTATTGTATGATTTTTTTAAAGGACAAATTAATTTTACATTAGAATTTAGTATATTACTCTATCCTAACCTAATAAAACAATACAATAAAATAACATTATAATACATAATCAAGAAAATGCTAAAATCTTAAACTACTTTAAAAAGAGGTACTATATTAAATATAAGGTTAAGCATTCCTTAGAGAAAAGAGGAACCTCGAACACTAGATATTCAAGATTATAAAAATAACCACGTATGGCATCAACAACAACAAAAAAACACTGACTTTTGTAACTATGCCATCTAACCAATATCAGATTCTTCATTTAGAGTTTATGTGATTATTTTTTACAGATATTGACTTTTCAGTGTTTACCTTGAACATGTTAAAGTAGTATGTACATGGTTAAATACCATCTGTACTGAAATGTTCAAAACATTTGTTCCTTTTGATAAAAATGCAAATCTGGAGAACTGTTGTATCAACATATAACAGCCAATGTCTGACACGGTGAATTATCACAGCTGGAATTAAATTGTCTCTGAACAGCTGCTGGCAGTAGAGCTTTCATCAATGTTTGATTCAAATGTAGGGAAAAAAAATCGTACAGAATGAAACATCATGTTGTCCTTACAGATGGGGTTTGTGTTCATTATCACAAACAACACAGCAGCCAGTGCCAAACAATATTCCCTTATCTAAGCTGTCTTCTTGGTTAGAGAGATGATGGTCACTATAAAAATGATTAATCTAGGAATACCCTTAATTCTTGATTCCCCATTTATTCTAATAATTTCTCAAAGTTAATTTCTTTCATATCACTTGCTTCCTTTTACCAAGATCATTTACGAAGCCATTATTATTTTTATTCTCTAGGGTCAAGCTAGTTCAGTTTCCTACATTTGAATGAATCTGGAAAATGAAGATTTTTTATTACATGAACCGCAAGAGAAAATGTTCCATTTGGACCAATTTCGCTTCTATTTGATCTTGTTTTAAAATCTTAAGCCTCACATGGTCTACCATTTTTAGGAAACCACCATCTTGATCCACTAAGATCGAGGTTTTTCTGGATGGCAGACCAATGAGACCAGACAACAGTCCTAAGTCAATACCAGGAAATGCAGTAAAAACAGCAATAAGAAGACAATGTTTCTTCCATCTGCACCCATAAACTGAAGACAAACCCAGAGCCAACGTGGGGCTGCATTTAGATTCCATCACCCAGTTTTCACAGCTGCAACCAAGTCTTGGAGCATGCCCACTCATTCATTCACTCAATAAATATTTATTGAGTATCTCCCAGGCATTATACTAGACTGGGAGGATCTAACCACAAATAAAACACTCATTTCACGTCGCCTTACCCAATCTGCAAGAAACTACAACACTGTTCTGTCATATGCTTTCCCAAACCATGGCAACTTAATGAAATTATCCCTGGAGATAACATGAAGTTAAAATATTTTCTATCAAATGTCACTTCTAGACTGGTTTGCAAAATGACCACTTATCTGCTTAGATACCAATATAGTCTCTGTGTGTGTTTTAACATACTTTCTTACAAAAATAAATTATTTTTTCATCAAGAGATTTGTATGACGTGACAAACATTAGTAACAGCCTATGGACACGTGATGAAGACTTGTCAGGTTATTTTCTTTTCCAACAGGCTTTTCTCATTTCTACTCCAAAGTCGTTACCTTGTGCCACATGAGAGAGAGATAAATCCAATACTTCGCTTTCCCCTTGCAGCCTATTAAATTATCTAAATAACACACAAAACATGAACAGACACATTACGACGACACCTACCTCACTGGCAGCAAAGAAAGCGTTGTTCGCCTCTGCCATATTCATGTAGTTATTATTATTTCCAAACTGAAAGAAAACAGATTGTTTTATGTTAATATGAGGCACAATAAAGAATTCTGGCTGTGATTTGGAAAGAATGCTGGTGTTACAAGATAAAGGAGGGGGTTTACTCAGACGAAATGCAAAATAGGACAAAGGTTTCGAAGCACCATGCTAGACTGTCAGCTAGTTCCTGCAGAAAATAAAGCAGAGAGTTAAGCTAACTCAGTAATTCTAGAAAATAGTTTTGTTTCTCGTCGAGACTAATGGAGAAGGGAGAGAAGCATTAGGCCCACTGGTCACTAGTGTGTGCTGTTTATTGAGCTGGCATTTGTCAGAGGTTAGAAGGAAAAGAGTTTCCAAGAAAATCACCTTGACACATTTTAAAGCATGTTGGGATTTTGTAGCTTACTTTTCAAGAACAGATGTCACAAGTGTGGGTAGGTTAAAATGTGAATTAAAGGGAATGAAATTCAATTCCCAGGACTCAAATTCTGTTTTCTAGTGAATGGGGTGTGGCATGAATATAAATAAATAATAAAACTAAAGAATATTTTTAAAATCTCCAAACAGAGCTAAAAGTGATATCTATATCCATCAGAGCTGCTGAAAACAGTGATATTTAATCTCGCAATGTAACATTAAGTGCAAAGAGGTTTAAAAAATAAGCAGGATCCTATGAACACAGCAATTTTCATTTTATTCCCTAACACAATAGCCCATTCATATCATCACAAATAAGACTGTATCAGCATTTCAGACTTAAGCTCTTTACTTCTAGGGACCTGTTATCAAAATGTAAAACTTGGATTTGGGCAGAAATGTATTTTCAGGTTCAAATGGTCGAAATAGGCACATTTTGTTGCTTTAAACATTCTGTTATCAGTCTGGCAATATGGAAAGGCTCTGTGAGCATAATTATCTGGAGCTGTATTATTTCCATGATTTTTAAATGGTAAAAAGAATGTCCTTTTTCTAAAATGTTTTTATTTCCTTCCTTTAATCCATCAAATAAAACATAGGTTTGGTCTCCAAAGGGTAAAATGTATATATCTACGTTCTAACATAAATAAAGCTGGTAATTATCTAAAGCGAAAGGTACATTTTCCCCAAGGAGATGGATGGATGGATGGATGGGTAGCTAGAGATAGAGAAATAGGTAGGTACACAGATACATAGATACATAGATAAGTATAGAGAATAAATTGAATTTATACATAGATGCACAGATATGGAAGATTCACGTAATCCTCCTCTCAATAAACCAACAAAACAGTCATTTCTGGGGGGCTTTCAACCCCTGATTCCAAACCTGTAGGACTCAACCCCCAGCAGGGGTTGACATGCTACCTTTATCACGTGACAGATTTATACAGAAGATTCTGATGGTCCCAGAGTGCCGCGAGGGTCTATGGAAGCACAACCCACCCTGGAAAACACACCTAAATACACGCAATGAGCCACCACAAAAGCTCTCACTGAAACCTCAGATTCATTTGAGTATCTTCACAAGGGTTTCTGAAAGATGTTATTTGTTAGCACTTAACACAGACCCTTATCTGGTTTCTCTGAAGACATGTGATATCAAAAACATGTGCATGGGTGCACACGTGAACACACACACATTTCCCCCTTTTCTACAATGTTAAATATATGCAAGGAAAAGTATAGGTTTCTGTCATGAAATTTTTGATAAATTAATGATGCTAGAATTAAAATCTCAGGCCTCCAGTCAAATGCTCTTTTTGGATATTTATAAGAACCCGGGCTGGCAATGTGAATTCCATGCACCAGTCCTGGCCCCCTGAACTGCCTATAACAGCCTGTATCACAACCTTAACGTTATTTAAATGTAGGTTTTGTCGGGGAATTAGAAATCCATTTAAAGCAAACAGCTCATTATCAGAGAGTATTTTTTTTTTAGATTAAACTCACTTATTATCTAATAGCACCTAACACAACAAAGAAAAATAAAATGGCTATTAAACTAAGGGCCTAAACAATTCAAAAAACAAATTAAGCTTAGAGTGAAATAAGAACTGGGTTAGAAATCCTCTTCTGAACAGTTAGTATGCGAATGTAATTACTGAAGAAACTACAGCTAATCAGCTGTGAATTGTATCCATTAATTAGTATTTGCCCTGGAGAAATGAGAAAAATCAGTAACAACGCTGGCACCACGGCGCACTGATGAACACGCAGGGCCGCGCGGCGTTTAGTCAAGCAGGTGGCTCCAGTGGTCCAGGAAATTTGAAAAGCTCTCACCTGAAGTACGAAGCTGGCATTACAAAACCCTCCTTGCATATCTGTTGTATCTATAGAAGGCCTTAATTAATGGCTTTTAATTTGGAAACACTTGCCGATCAGGCGGGAAACGGTTATAAATCATTTCCAACAGAAGTAAAAGGTTTCTATTCTGTTGGGGGTAAAATATCCCCTCTACAAAGGTGGCTTTACAGGTTGACTTGTTGCAGGCAATGGTCATTCTCCTGCACAGGTGCCTGGAACTCTGGCTAACGGTGGTAGGGTGGTCAGATGAAATACAGGACAGCCAGATAAATTTGACTTTCAAATGAATAGCAACTTTTTTTTTTTTTTTGGTATAAGTATTCCCCACGCACTATTTGAGATATACTTATGCCTAAGAAGGTATTCCTTATTGAGCTGAGATTCAAACTGAATTGGCTGCTATATATTCTTATTTGTTAAATCAGGCCACCCCACCGTGATACTTAAAACTAATCAGAATGAAAGGGACGTTACTCTGCATTTGATTACCTTATCTAGTAAGAATAGCTTGATTTTACTTATTTTATTTTACAGTGTGACCTATGAGTCTTGCTTTACTTGTTTGGTCTGAGAACAGATCCGATTCTGAGAGAAAAAGTGCTCCTTTGGGGCAGATCTCTAATATAATGACCTCAGAACAATTAACTTTAAGTGAATTGTATACAATTAAATTTACGCTATGCTCTAAGAGACAGTGACATCAGTAAACACATTATATTATAAAAACCCTCTAGGTCCATGGGGAAGGGTCCTTAGCTGAGTTCACTGTCTCCCCAAGAAGTAAGGGCGGTGCCTGGTGTATCAGCAGCTCTCCAGCATTTGGCGAAGGGAGGGAGAAAGGTTGGTCACCTTAAACCTTGGTGCCCCCTAATCACTCATCCTAACTGGAGTAACTTATCACTTACATTTTTGTGATAAGAATGAGTGTGTAGACCAGTGAAGCCCTCTACATACATCATTTCATTTCATTTTCCAAAGTCGGACTAAACATATTTGCCCAACAACCAGTAAGATGAATATATTTTTATCCCTATTTTATAGATCAACAGACTGAGGTTTCGAGGGGGTCAAGCCACTTGCCCAAGATCATAGACTCAAAGATGAAAGTCTGGCAACCCTCCTTACCTCACAGTCTGTACTGCTTACATTCCAATATCCACAAAAACTTGAATATTTCACTCACTGATCAATTCAACTTTGTTATCTATTTTACTCAAAGCTAGAATTTCCCAGAGGGTATTTCAAGGTTCCTGGATCTAGTAAAAATGCTCTTCAAGAAATGGTTCCACAGTCCAGTCAGTCTGGGAAAGGCTGCCTTCTCTTTGATGAGTCACAATGCCTGCTATGAAGTTAAAGGCTCTGAGAAGTCCCGCATGTTCATCATCTAGAAAATATTTACATGCCTACTATGTTCAAGGCACTAGAGACAAAATGGTGAAGAGATGACAAGGCTCCTACTTGGATGAAGCTTAAAGTTTTCTTTAAGTGGGACACATTTAAACAGCCCTCACTCCCCAAAAAAGCTGTGGACCACTTCCTTTTGTTTCTCCTACAATACTCTGTGGAAACATAATTTGGGAAACTGTTCTAAGCCCTTTACTGACAATAATCTTTCATTTTCCCCTGAATCTTTCTTATAAAAGCTAATATCCTAATTTTACACCATGGTAAAATTTATGCATTTTATGAATTAACTAAGTAAGAATTCCTAAATTATTCATTTCAAAGTCACCTTAATTTGGCCTATTGGCGAACTTTCTAGATTGTAACCCTCCACTGATGTTCCTTCAAAGATTCCCTATTCGGCCATATAAGGGGTCTTCTATGCAATTTCAACAGCCAAAAGATTCCAAATAAACTCAACGAACATCAGGTGAAATGGTTAATTACTTGGAAGGCACATACAGACGTTATGCAAGAAATTAACCAATTCCAACCGTTTTAAAGAGCACATACATGGGGAAACGGTCACTGCGAGGCCAGGGCGTTTGGCAGTTATGAAGTGCACTGGTCGTGATAGGTCCTTTTCCACTCTGATAGGCTCTGATAGATGTGATCCCCAAAGATACAGTCCCCGAAGATATCATTATAAAGGAGAACTAAATTACTCTGCGTGTCGAACTTCTGTATCTTAATAATTTCATAAAAGAACATCTTCATTGTACTTGGAGGCAGATTTGCTTTTTGCTGCTTGACGAGTAATTACAGCTTGGGCAAACACAATTTATGAAGGACATCAATTAAAAAGGAGCACGGCGGGATTTTTTTTGGAAATGTATTAAAGACCATCGTGTTCATGGCCTGTCTGACCATGTGAAGTGCCAAAGTAAATTAATGCGGATTGTTAAGTCTGGCTAGTCCGGCAAAGGGTCTGGGAGAAAGTAGAGCAGCCGGGACAAAAACTTGTCTGTAACCACAAGACGAATATTTCCACCCGATGAGTCCACACAATATCATTTTCCCTGAAATTATTTTGACACCCATGTGAAGAACTGTATAGACATCCCATAAAGCAGCATTAACTACAGGGCCTCAAACAGCTAAATGGCACAAATTTAATCCTAAAAAGAAAGATAATCCTTCAAATTCTCTCTCTCTCTTTTTTTTTTCCCCCATTAGATTTGTTAGCAGACACCATCCAATTCGATGCCTCACTATGGACATCTGTCAAGCTGTGACACACAAACGTGCGGTGACATTGCGGGCCGGGGTGCCAGGCTCGGCCGCGCCCAGGAGGAGGGAGCTCGGGGAAGTCCACCCTCTCTCCAAGGCTCGGTTACGAGTCCCTGGAAAAGAACTTAGGCGAGATCACCGGGTTTCAACCCCTTTCAGCAGTGGTCATGTTTCACGCCCAAAGGAGTGGAAACAAGCCCAAAATGACAAATGATAAAACCTGATGAAGAACCTGGGGGGGGGGGGGAGGGTCTGGAGCACCAAGTCAGGAAACAGCGAATGACGTCATGAATAAAGACCGTCTACACCGGGTAGGGGCTCCACAATAGTCTGGGAACAACAACTGCAAAACGATGCACTATAAGATGTATTTACAGGAATACATATAATTTTATATATACACACACAATTCTAATTATGCATTAATATATACAATCATATAAGTTTATACACATACATGGAATTACGTGCGCACCTTGCCACATGCTAAAAGCTCCTAGATGATGATTTCCTGCGCTCCGGACGCACACGTCCAGCTGGCCACAGCACTTCCACGTGGATGTCAACGGGCATCGCAAACGCATGTTCAAAACGGATCTCCCCATCTTCTCCCCCAAGCCTGCTCCACCCATAGTCTTTCCATCGCACTCGCTTCCAGCGACTAAGGCAAAAAATATTCTTGAATCTGCTTTTTCTCTCTCCCTTCCCTGTATCAAGTTGTCAGGAGGATCTGTTGGCTTCTCTTTCCAATTATACCCAAGAAAGACCACTTCTCACCATTCTGTGGACCACCCTTCCCCAGGCACAAGCCATCCAAGCCCTCCTAGACCTCTGCAGCTGCTCCCCAGCGGTCCCTCTGGCTCTACCCTGCTCCCCAATGATCTGTTCTCAAAGCAGAGCCAAGGCAGCCCTTTAATAATCTACGTCAGACCAACCATGTCACTTCTCTGCTCCAAACCTCCCAATGCCTTCCCATCCATGCAGGGAAGACACCCAAGTCCTTACGATGGCCCCAGATTCTCCTCTGACCTCTTAGCCAATGTCTTACTCATGTTGCTGGCCTCCATGCCTTCCCTTCGACATCCCAGACATAATCCCAGCTCGGGGCCTTTGCACTGGCCGTTTCTTCTGCCTGGACTGTTGTCCCTTCATATGACCCCAGGGTTTGCTCACTTCGCTCCTTTGGAGTCTTGTCTCAGATGTCACCTTATGTCCAACTACCCTATCAGATTTCTCTGCCACCACCTCCACTTCCAGCACCTCCATCCCTCTTCCCTACTCTACGTCTTCCATGAACACTTCCACATCCCATAATATAATTACTGCCTTTCACCCCACACTAGATGATAAGAATGTCTTGTCTATCTTTTACATCCATGTCCCACTTCCTACTATTTACTATTGGTAAATAGTAAGTGATCATTACAGCTCTGTTGGATGCAAGCACAAATAAATTCGTGAATGTGAAATGATGGTATTCAAAATTGTTCTCCAGGACCAGGTAGGGGCGAAGGGAAAAACGTGCCCATCGCCCTCTGAAGGTACGCTGAAAAATCAACTCACAAAAGGCAGATTCGTTGGACGAAACTATACAAACTTATTAGGTCACAGTTTTACATGACATTGGAGGCATCAGAATGAAGACTGGACCAAGCCCAGTCTGGGTGTGCAGTGGTGGCACAGAGGGAGGCTTCCTACCACCCTGTGGGTACAGAAAGAGCGGGGGCTTGGGTCCTGGCGAAACAGGCTGTGGGAAAGCAGAGAAGAGGAATTCTGCAGAGGGGCAGTAAGTGGTCGCTGGGGAGATCTGGCCTGGGACAAAATCTGCCGGGCCTGCAGAGCTGACAATGCTTCGTGACAAAAGCCCGTCCATGCTTACCAGCAGACTTCAGCCTTCCTTTCTGTGGTTTGGGTCCAGTGGATGAAAACTCAGGGAAGGGACTGGAGGTAGTTGTTTTTGTCTTTGGTAGGGCTGGGCTTTAGGCAGATAAGAGAACTTCGGAGAAAAACCTTACCCTGTGTCATGGGAGAGATGGCGTGGGGGGAGGGTGTGCCTCAAACAGACCTTGAAGCTTTTGTTCCCATTCAACTGGGACAAGATGCTATGTTTTGGGGTGTTGGTATTTGAGCCCAAACATGCATCAGGACAGAGTCATACGCACTTGAAACTCAAGTGTGAACAAGAAGCGCAGCGGCCACCACCATTGGTCCCTCCCCAAAGCACGTCTATGGGAAAACAGTGGTAACAGGAAGACTTACATATTCTAATAAAAGTAAATCTTTAAATCTTAGAGATACCTAGCTAGAAAAATACTTTATTTGAGAATATGCACTAACCTCTTTACAAAAAAAGAGGCCTAGGTGGGCAGGTGGGATGGTTAGGGTTGGGTGCCTTAGGTGGCTGAATACAAACTGCAGTGAACAACACAGATTCCAGCCTGCAGGCAAAAACCCTGGGAGAAGGGACCCAGCAGTCTAATGTCACAAGGGCAAAGATTCCGGTGTTAAATTTGACAGCTGATTTTTTTCTAATTTAAAATAGCCTCTTCTTAATAAACTACTTTATAAACTACTTTATAGTCTCGGTCAGGGTTTCTCAAAGTGTTGTGCCAGGGACCAGAGAATAACCAGATGCCTGGGAAAAATGCAAATTACCTGATCCCCACCCTGGATTTATTGTATCAGAATCTCTGAGCAACCCTAATATTTTTAACCAGCTTCTAAGAAACTCTAAAACACACTAATATTTGAGAACTAATAGCCTAGCGCATGTTAGACTTTTTCTTTTTTAAAATAAACTTTTTCTACACATCTTATGGAAATGCTGTTTTGTTTATAGTGATGAAGGCTTAGCTCAAGTATTTACAATCTCTTCTCACCTTCCTTGCTTATAGGAAGATGCAAACACTTGTGAGGTGGCCATCTACCCTCTCTCCTACCCTTGTCACCAGGAGAAAGGACCAGAACATCTGAAGTTGGATCAAGTAGGGAAGACAAGTTCCACTGTTGGATTTTTCAGCAAGTCCTGTGGACCCACACAAGTGACAACAATACCTAAACATATGGACTCCACTCAAACACGGAGGCCTTTGGATTTTCATGATCCGGACACATTCGAGTCTGTGAATCGCATAACCATCTGGACTAGTTAAAAGTGGCAAGAAAAAAAAAAAACCACCCTCTCAAACCCAACTGCACTTGTTTAATATCATAAAAACAAATATAAGTAGAGGAAAAGATACTAAGGTTTTAGAATCAAGGCTTTTTTTTTAAGCAAAAATGGAGCCATCTTTGGGATTGGCCAAACAACCAGTCATCACCAGCATTCGGGGAACAGGAAACGGCCCCTGTGTCTCCTTAAACAGCCACCAGCAGAAAAAGCCAGTGGTGACACATATGCTATGATCTGACCACACCTTTTGTGTTAATTCCGGCTTGTCTCTCCCCTTTCCTCCCAAAAACCTTATAAACACTTAACTCGGTCCCTATTAGATGCCAATTCATAGGATTTATTTGGAGAATGTGTCTGTAGATGTAGAGAAGTAGAAGATCATGATTGTTGATTTTAAGAGACGACTCAGTTGGGGTGATGAGACAGTGTCCCAACCTAACGGCCAAGTCTGTGGCAAATGGCCTGCAAGTTAGGAGAAGTTTGACTCCTTCTCTTAGGAGAAGGAGTCAAAAAGGAAGGGCTTCTCAGAGGAACAGGCCTTGCACCAAAAAAGTGGGCAGAGGAGAGGGAGCCCCAGGCAAAGAGAAGGGAGGGCGTGAAACTGCAGACCTCACTGTGCACAAGCAGTCTGGCTACAGAAGAGGGAAGTCGGCTGGGAGAGATGCTGGGTAGCCAGGCTCTGGTGGGCCTTGAAGGCCAACCTGAATATTCCAAAACGTATTAAAACAAGAAGGAGATTGTTAGAGGGAGGAGGTGGAGAGAGAGGAAGTAAAACCCACACTTGAGCCCATCGATAATCTGAGATGCACAAGAGCAATCCTGAGGGGCTAGGGCAGAGACCAGGGAAGAACACGTCCAGGCTGGCAGGAGTCCGCAAGTGTCCCGAGTGGGCAGGGCCAATAGGGCAGGAACGAAATACAAGTGCATCTCACCATGGGTCAGACTAACTGGCTGCGAATTCCAATCCCACCCCCAAACTGGCTGTGGGGTGGCAGGAAGCTGCCTCACTTGTCTTCGGGACAAGTTCAAATCCCAGCGGAGCTGCTTGCTAGCTGTGTCCCCACACACAAGTTATCCAGCCTCCCTGTGCCTCATTTTCCAGTTTGTACAACAGGGATAAGAAGCATGCTTGCCTCATCATGGAGGTTTTGAGGATTAAATGGGTTTAGTGCACATAAAGCCACTTTTTCTATCTGTACTAATGGCCCAGGTGACATTTCAACGCGTCTCCCAGAAACCAAAACAGACCAAGCATATCTGCCTTACAAACTGCTGTGGTTTAAATGACAGTGCAAGAGCGTTTTACTACTTAAAGAACTTCAGTGGCTTCCCAAGGATACTTAGAGTAAAATCCAGAGTCCTTGTCTTGGGCCCCAAGGCCCCATATGATCTGGCTGCTGCCTCCTCTCCGAATTCCTCCTAAGAGGGCTGGCCGGGCGCCCTGAGCACCAGGCACACTGCACTGGCTGTGCCTCGGTCCCTTCTCTGGGCCACTCAGCGGCCTGCTGCTCTGCTTGCCTGGACCCCGCTCTCCTCCCTCCTTGCTTTATGCAGGTTTCTGCCCAATATCTGCTCCTCAGGGAGTCCTCCCAGCCCAGCTTAGCCAAAAGGACATGCACTCCTGAGTCTCTTCCCGCCCCCTCCTTTATATCTCATCAGATATAAAGTCACTTATCGCCGACTGATTTACTGCACTTATTTGTCCGTTACTGTCTATCTCCACACTAGAAGGGACAGCCCATCTGTCTAGTTAAATGCTGTTTTCTCTGGCCTGGGACAATGTCTGACCCACAGTAGGTGCGTAGTATGTCTGTTGACTGCATAAGGAGGGAGTGAGCCCAGAGAGATCCAAGTCTCTGCCATTCACAAGCCGAATATCATCAAGTAAGTTGGTTCCTGCTACTGCTCTGAACTTCTATTTCCTCATTTCCAAGGAAGAAAGGATAGGACTTTATGGGGCCAGGTTGGGTAAGAAGTAGGACAATACAACACCCCCCAACCCCCCCTCCCCAGCAAAGGGTCTCTTACAGAAGAGGCACTT